TATTTATTAAATAAATATATTTTTTAATATTAAATAAAAAGTATTTTAGAAGTTTCAAGTCTTGAAAATAATTGAATGTGTGAGTATATGCATATTCATTTAGATTATATAAACTAAATTGATATTAATATGATAAACTAATTTTAAAACAAGTATTTGAATTAATTATTAATATATATTATTTATTATCAATAAATAATATATTGTGATAATGATCGATATATTATTATATATCAATAAATAATATATTAATAATGATCAATTATTATTAATATGGATATTTATCAAAGATTATCAGAGTTATTGATTAATATTGATATTTCAGAGAGATATTTATCAATTTTTACAAATATGATGATGATTCTTGATAAATATCTCTCTAAAAAATTTCCTAATATTCTTCTTATTTTATTAAGAAAATATTTTTTTAAAGTAAAACTTGTATAAATTATCTTATTGAAAAGATAATTAGTCATATTTATCTTTTAAGCTATAAAAATAAATAATTACTATGAATACAGTTACTATTACTATTTTAAAATATTTATATATATATAAACTTAAAATGATAATAATATTAAATAATTTTACATATTTTTAATTAATTGCTTGTAATATAATTAAAATAATAATATTAGAAAACTTAAATAAAAATGATAAATATATTACAAAATAAGATAAATATAAAGTGACAGAATAAGAAAATTAGCAAATTGAACTAGAAAAAAAATAAATAAAAAATTGATAAATTATTATAATACTTATAACTTATATTTGATATCAAAAATATATTCTTAATAAGTATAGTCTTTCTTTTTCTTCTTCTTATTCTTTCTCTTCTTTCTTAAAAAAAGTAATGCTATCTTGCAATAAATAATGTTTATTAATATATTTACTATATTCTTGTAATATTTCTATTTTTTATTTTTTTAATATGTATACTTAATGCAAGTTATAAGTATTATAATAATCAGCATATAAAAAACCAATTCTATACATACTCATCATTTCTAATGCTGTATACTCTTCATTTTATTTATCTATCACATACTTATTCAATACATATACTTAACATTTCTGTATGTGAAATGACTTGCAAATCCGGATCAAATTAACCCAGATCATATCTGAATTGACTCGATCCGAATTGCACTACCCGGCTTTAGTGTTTCCCCGAATTCGGTAACAGTGTATATGTAGGGGTAGACACTTTTTTAATTGTTATTACTAAATTGAGCGTGATTTAAATAATATGGTGATTCGGGAGAAAGAACTTGATTTGAGATCACGGGACCAAGTAATATAATCGAGTTAGTACTTAAAGCTAAAATCAAGGCTGTATTAGGTCAACCAGCGTATTTCAATCAGTCAAATACGAAATGTTAATAATCAGGATACTCGAAAAAAATAAACTTAGAAAAATCATTACTATATGATTTATATGTATTATTATATAGGTGTATGATACAAAGAATAAAGGCGACGATCAAAAAGTCCAAGCAGTGAAATCAAATAATATAGAACCTTATGTACATAACAAAAAATACGTAAATCCACCCACATAAATTTGATCCGTTAATGATAAAACAATGCAATTAATAAATTAGAATTCCGGAAATTATAAATGTATCAGAAAAAGAAAAGATGCCATAGGAAATTTTGTTCTATAAAAATATAAATAGATGGGTATTGAAAATAAATAGATAAATTTATAATGTTTATATTTCAATCTTAGAAGACAAGAGGTCAAATTATTGCGAGGAAAGAATATTGATAAGATAAATTGACTTTTTAAATAAATAATAATATAAATCATTGAATTTAAATCGAAAATCCTTCAAAGTGACTCGCAGATGAACTATCATGATTAATTCTTGTAGGTGTGGAAATTATAGGTGAATGCTGCCCATTATTTTCATTATTGCTGTTATTGGAAGTATTATGATTTTGTCGTCGTGGACTTTGTATTGATTAAATGATAATATAGGATTCAGTATTATATATATATTTTTAATTTATTAATATAATGATTTCAATCTACCTTGCAGGATCAATCTTTAAGTTCAATTCAATTCAAGAATAAAAATTATATTTCAGATCCAAGTATATAACAAAATTAATGTAATCACAAATATTTAACATATACATTACCTCACTTTCTACGTCATCAGCCACCGGTTTATCTATCCGCACATACCAACTTGGTGCCCATCCACGAACTCCATTTATCTCACAATATAGCCAATAATTATCCATTTTATAAATTCGAAGATGATCGTCTTTTTTCATACTAAGCTCATCACCACCCCTACTATGATAATCAACCAACGCAACACCTCTGCCCACCAGTGGACTATCACTATCCATCATATCACCTCCATTCACCGTTGTCTCTAATAAACAATTTTGTGGAACCCATCCTTCTTGACCGTCTTTCTCTACAAAACACCAACCTTCCGATTTACTTTTTATATTAAAAACATCCCCAACGAGAATTTTAAGTTCATCCTCTAATTCTGGATTATATGGATAAATAGCCACGGCTGTTCCATTTACTTCCACTACTGTCGTTTCTGATTGGTCATCTTCGATATATTCATCGAAACTTGATGTATTATTATATGAGGATGAAGAGCCAGCTCCTCCATTTCCCTCATGCGGTGCAGGTGGTAATTCCTTATTAAGAAGTGTTGTCCTTCGTTTTGCTTTACTTGCTTTAAGTGAATTTATAATCTCTTTAGCGGTTGCAAAAGGAGATTTAATTTCCTTTATATTTTTCAGCATAAAAACTGGTTTGAGATCTTGTTCCTTCAATTTTTGAAATAATAATAATGGCTTTTCCTCGTAACTTAAGCATTTCTCTATTTATTAACAATAACGAGGAAAACAAATATTAATTACTAAAGATGAAAAATATCGTAGCATATTATATAATATTCGTACCCTCTTTGCCGTAGCATATAAACAATGCATATTGACGCCAATCATCTGTAATTTTGTATTTTTTTAATGCTGCCGGCAATACTTTATAACAAGGATCTTCTACTGAAACACGGAAAGCTTTGAAAGTTTCCGCCTCTCTTCCAGTATTTTGATTTTGCATGAATTTAATTGCACCCGAATGATCGTTAATTGTAACTTGTGGTACTACCGTATTCGTTGAGCTATATTTAGACTATAAAGAAATTCGTTAGATATGGGAATCTTAAGTGAGTATAATCATATTAACAGCAAAAAAAATTCTCACATCTGAGGAATATTCATCATTATTATTGTTGCTGTTGTTGTTATTACTGTTGTGATTATTGTTATTACTACTATTATTACCATTAATACCACCACCGCCACAGCTGTTATTATTATTATTATTACTATTATTATTGTTGCTATTATTATTATTATTATTCCCATTATGCTGACGAGCACGACTTCCACCTCCTTCTCGCGGAGATCGTGGCGAAGAAGGTGGCGCACTTAGTCCTTCATTTTGAAATGAAGTAGACCTTATTGTATAAGGGGCAACATTTATACCTGGTACTTGTACAGATAAATTTTTAGATGAATTTGAATTATATTTTACTTTGCCAGGATTTTGCCAGTCTGGCTCAGGTAATGGCTAATAATAATTAAATTGATCAATTGTCACTCTAAGTAGAATTAGAAATTAATTATTAAGAGAAAAGACGCGGCAAAAACCTTGTTTTCTTTTGCTACAAATTTAAAAACCGGCTGTAACTCCTCTCGTAGTTTTGATAAATCATTTGAAAGTCGTGTTACTTCTCTTGATAGCTGAGCTATCATTGCATCTATTATAATTAATTTTTTTAGGTATTCATTTTTTTTAGAAGAATATTGATAAAAAATTGTGAATTTAACATACCTCTTTCTTGCAATGCATTTTCGAGTTTTCGAATGTTGGGTATTCCATTAACCATACTCATTTCCTATCAAAAAAACGAACGATCAAAAAAATAATTCAGTAGAAATTTTCACTTTGAGGAATTCCAACAATACCGTTGAGTATTATTATTAATAAATACATTTTCAAATTCCGCAGCTATTAATAAAAGACGTGTCCAACCAAAATAATTAATGAAGTTCGCAAAAAATATCTCTCGAAAGAATAAAAATTAAACTTACAAGGCGGGACATAATCGAACAATTCAACTGGTACGTTATGTTGAAGTTTGAGATTATAAATGGCTTTTAATATCGACACTCTCTGGCCGACCGAACGAATCCCGATGTCTTTAAGAGCTTCATGATCCATGTGAACTAAAATGTCGCCAGTGATGCCTTGTTCTACGTTTTTCATAAGGCACAAAAAAGATCAATTTGATTTCGATTTGACCATATATCAAACAACTAGGTTGCTAACCTTTTAGTTGTAGTTCGTAGGTCGGATACCCAATTTGAGAGAGCCAAGTGTGCACCTTATTGGCGTCCCATTCTGTTACGGGTTCCTGTAGTCGATCCATGGACACTATGAAGTATGAAGGATGAAAGAGTGAAGGTGTTGTAGTCGCGGGAAACAAAAAATTAAAGGAACGGTTTTTGTCCGGGTAATGAATATCCTGTAAAATCAAACATGTGGCACGCGATATGGTGTAACCTAAGGTAAAATCTTTGAATATCTAACTTGCTATATGTAGTAGTTATTTTCGAAAATCTTTACATTAAAATGCTAGCAAGAACAGTTTTCGTTGGATTTCGAACAGCTAACAGTTTCCAATGGACTAAAAGAGTGAGTTTCTTTTGGTCTTAATCATAGAAAAGACCAAGCGTCTTACCTCAACTCTTTTACGTTATTCCAAGTTGCTAAATGTAACATCACAAGCTTTTCAAAGCTTCTCAAAAGATGATGCTAAAGGCGAGAAAGTTCATTTTCCCGGTGCCACCCAAAGCTATTTTACAGATAAAATGCAGTTTATTCAGAGTATTGATCCAATTTCAACTTATCGAGTAATGGATAAAGAAGGAAAAATTTTGGATCCTGCTCAAGAGCCTCGGGTATTTTTCTTTTATTTTTAACAATAACAATTATTATTAATTGCCATTATAACGCTCACTTTCATTTTAAAGGTTTCCGAAGACTTTGCTATTAAAATATATAAAGATATGATCACATTAAACATTATGGATCTAATTCTTTATGAAGCACAGCGTCAAGGTCGTATTAGCTTCTACATGACTAACTACGGTGAAGAAGCTTATATAGGAAGTGCTGCCGCGCTCGACAACGATGATGTAATATTTGGTCAATATCGCGAAGCTGGTGTTCTCTTATATCGCGGATTTGGACTCGATGAATTTATGAATCAATGTTACAGCAACGAGCAGGATAATGGCAAAGGACGACAAATGCCCGTTCATTATGGCTCAAAAGAATTAAACTTTCAGACTATCTCATCACCTTTGGCCACGCAGATACCACAGGCTGCTGGCGCGGCATACGCGTTGAAAATGAGTGGCAAGAAAAATTGTGTAATGTGTTACTTTGGGGAGGGGGCAGCGAGTGAAGGTGATTTTCATGCGGCGTTAAATATTGCGGCTACGATGAAATGTCCTGTCATATTTTTTTGGTACTTTATTCTATCTATATTTCATATTATATATATATATATGTGTGTGCGTGTGTGTGCTTGATCCATATTAAATCCATTAATTTATATTTATTTGGACATTTTAATTTATTCATAAAGTCGTAATAATGGTTTCGCGATATCCACACCTGCATTAGAACAATATAAAGGTGATGGTATTGCTAGCCGTGGTATTGGTTATGGTGTAGATACAATTCGTGTTGATGGAAATGATGTTTGGGCTGTGTTCAATGCAACACGAACAGCACGGCAACTAGCAACTGACGAAAATCGTCCGGTCTTAATTGAAGCGATGACCTATCGAATTGGGCATCATAGTACCTCGGATGATTCTTCGGCGTATCGATCTAAAACTGAGGTTGAAAATTGGAAACGTCTTGATAACCCAATAATTCGATTACGAAAATGGTTAGAAAATAAGGTATTATTTATTTAAACTTATTGATTTTTGATTGCATATACTTTAAATAATATTTTTATAAATATCATTTATGCAGAATTGGTGGAACGAAGAAAAGGAAAATGATTTCCGATCAGAAACCCGAAAAGAAATTCTAAAATCTTTTTCTCGCGCAGAAAAACTTCGGAAACCGTCACTTACTGAACTATTTAATGATGTCTATGATCAACCGACGTCAAATCTAATTGAACAGAAAAAAGAATTAAAACGTTTAATTGAAAAATATCCCGAGAATTACAAATTAATTAAATTCAAAAATGAAGGAAACGATTTATAGAATTAGATTTCAGCAGAAAACATTTTATTTATTTTACTAGAATCACAGCCCAGTAATAATAATAAGTCATAAACATGAATGCAATTTACAATTTTTAACAAAGATCAAGCCATCCGAATATGAATCTATTGTAAATGTATTTTGTTTAATAATGACACGAGATATCCACGGGAGTATGACATTAATTGATTCATTAAAAATTAAATTACGACTATCCAAATAAATATTAAATAAATGTTTGATTAAATATAATGACGATTGTGCTTATTGTTTATGTGGAGTACGCTGATACGAACGTCTCCATTTATCGTCAATGCGAGTAAGATAATATGTGCCCTCGAAAAAGGATCCCGAGACTGGACTTTTATCACCAACAGGACTGAAATCTTTCTTTGAATGTGATTCGTCTCTTAGACGCATAATTTCGTTAAATTGTTCTGGTGAAATTTTGACTCGGGAATCGAACCGATTTTTGATGTCTAGGTTTTTGGCGATGGTTGAGATTGAATCTACAATTTTCATAGAAAAAAATGTAGCAGCGAGGCCTGATCCGTATGAAAAAAGACCAATACGTTTTCCAACCTGTGATTATAAATAACAAATTATGTTCAATCGAGAGATGATAATTCCCTTCTTTTTTTTTTTGGGTTATAAAAAATAGCAGTTTACCAATTGCTCAGATGGCACTTCGCCTAAAAGTGATGCAAGCGAACCATATAAAGAAGCGGTATACATATTGCCATTTTGTGTGGCAATGAATAAAGCAGGTAGCACATTTTTTGTATATTCTCCTTTAGAGAGATTTACGAAAGCCTTTTCTAAGTCCTTTGACACTAAAGACTCTTCAATATTAATCCCCTAATTATGCGATAACAATTCAATTATAATCAAATATAATTAGGAATGATAATTTAGCTAAATCTAGGGGCGCACCATTTATCAGGTGGTTTTAGAGGTCAGGTCTTCATTCATGTGACTTGAAAATATCATGTGATAAATGGCACGCCCCTGAATCAAAAAAGGTCCTTAATAGATACCTTGAAATGGGAAACACTTTGAAATTTTTGGTCGTCTGGATTGCGTACAAAATCATTAAAGTGTAAACGTGCAAAAGCTTTTTGCACTAATTTACAATAGGGAACGTGAAAAAGAACATAATCAAATGAGCCAAGATTTGGCTTTGCAGATTTATCCTGTTGAATGAAATAAGTGTTTCATTGATATTGAGATTAATTAGTAAAGGATAGGGAACTCATAATTTAAGTTAGCTTTACTTACTTTGGTCACTAGTTTCTCTATATACCGATTGTAACACGTATCTAATGATTTCAAATAGAATGAATTGCTGACATGGCCATCAACTACTGGAAATTCTGAACTTAAATCAGGTTTATCTAGATTTTATAATAATATTAATATAATTATTTGAAAGAATTGGAACAAAAATTTGAAAGGATAACTTACAAAAATCCCAAGCATGTTCCATATGTGTTCCGCAAAGCCCTGCATCAGATTAATAAAAGAGATTTATAGTTAGAATAAAAATTTTTGATTTTGAATTGCAAATTAACTTATTAATAATATTACCGCTTTCAAGCACAATAGGTGCATTAGGGCCAATAAGTAATGCAATACATCCTGCACCCCCAGTGGGTCTGGCAGGTCCAGATGCATAAACTGCAATATCTCCGGCAACAACAAGAGCATAACGCCCATCCCACCAAGATGACTCGACCCAATGAACAGCATTAAAAAGTGCTGCAGTTCCTTTAAAAAAAATGAAATCAATAATATATCCTATAATTAATTATCTAATTTTTTTACTAATTCAAAAGAATACCTCCATAGCATGCGTTAGTGGTGTCGATACCCATGACATCAGTATTTCCTGATTCCGTGAAGAGTTGCATCAATACAGTTTTTACGGCCTTTGATTTATCAACTGCCAAAAGTTTTAGTCCCCAATTTTTGAAATATAAATCAAGAGTGAATACTGATAAGCAAACATACTAATTGTTTCGGTACCGACTTCCAATCGACCAATATCTTTGTAAGAGATTTTATATTTTTCGACCAAGTTTTGTACAACTAAAATTGTTATTGAAAGATAAAGCTATGTATACGTTTTCAAATAGAATCAACTGAGATAATTAATAGAATTCCTTACCTGTCAACGCTATCGAATTGATATCTTATGTTTGCCGAAGCAAATGAGTTAATGATTGACGTGCTTTTTTAAAGAACAATCATGTTTGAGTTTAAATTAAGTACCTTCACGGTCGTCACAAACACCCATTCTCGTCTGACCGAGACCAATGGTGTATTTTCCCGAGGAAACACCATCGAATTTTTCTAGTTCAGTTTGCTCCACATACTTAAAAAAGTTATTTGTGAGTGAAAGTATAAAGGAATAAAAACAAAAGAATTTAAGTTTATTAATAACTTTAGAATGCTGACTTCGAATCTTTATATAATATAATTTATTTGGTTCTCACTCTTTTAGGAAAATAAATTTCTACGGCCAATATGCCAATATTTTTCGGTGTGCCGTTGGCGGTAATAGAAGCCATCGATTATTATTAGAGTGTAAACTATTTAATTAGAATGAGGGAAAGTTCGGAATGCATTTATATAGAAATATCTAATTTCAAAAAAAAATTCATTTTAACTAAACTGATTCGGGATTAAACACCATAATTATTTTTTTATTTATGGTTCAAGTAATCTATACCCGACAATCACATGATTAGAAAATCAACTTCTAGATATTGTTCTTCATACTGTACCACGTAATCACGTGATATGCATCTGATTGGTTGGAACTTATAGATCATCGGATCCAACTAATATGGAAATTACTCTATTGATATTTTATTATTTTGTCACTATATCGGTGCTCTATTATAATGTAATCGCCTATAATTTATTCCGCAAGGATCATGATCCGGAGTTACGATCATATTAGATAGAAGCAATAATCTATATAGCGTAATAAGCCCGACGTACTAGTACCAAAAAAACCAATCAAATAGTAAGATCAATGTATAACGAAAAAATTGTGTCTCGAAATTTCGCGTAAAAACTACTTTCTGTATTCTAACAAACAATACTTGGCCAATAACACATTTTCGGATCACTTGTTATTTATATT